AAATAAGTTTGGGTACACTGGTGATTACAAAACTGGTAGTGGTGCAGAAAGTTAATGCAGTGCTTCCATATCTAAGGACACCAACATAATTAAGGGTTGACATAACTGGAAACTACGTTTCACGACTTTAAGAACAGGGCCCGAATTACATATGACTAAGTCTTGGTTTAACATGGCCTTAGGTCTGAAAGCACTAATGCTGATAGTATTAGTATCAGTTCAGGTTCAAAGGAATTGAACCTTTCAGGTATTCAGCTGCAAGTTAACTTTACCAACCATATTTTTAAAACATGTAATTTCTTGAGCTAACACTTCGAAGTTATAGACATATGTTAAAGTGGAGTCCAATACTTATATTTAGACAAGCAATGATTTAAGAAAGGATCAGCAAATCCCTTCAGAGGTCTGTTGCATTCTTCCCAAACTGGTTACAGGGTTCACCATTTGAATTTCATACTCAAGTTAATGACCTTTTTCCTATTGGAACATAAATTTATTACTATCCCCTTCATTTTTTCATTAAAAGCTACCTGGCCACCTTATGCTACGTGCAATAAAATGACACTGCTAAACCTAAGGCACTGAAAACCAGAACACAGAGCACAGTATGTTTTCTTGAGTAGTTCTACATGTTCTCCTTCATTCCCCTTGGTCTATCACATGATTTCAGGCTTCCTTATTTACCAGCTGGTTCTTGTTTAAATCTCACTTGTCTTTCATTTGGCTTGTGGCCTGCTTTGTTTTACCCCTCCCTCCCTACTGAGCACCAACATGAACTCTCAGTTAACTTTCAAAACCACACTGGTCATAGAATGAAGCAAAATGAATTTTATAGACTTTAAGACCAATAGGAAACATTATGGTCACTCAGCTTGACCTTCTCCATAACCAAAGAACCCAACCCAGTAATTTCTGTATCAAGCCTGTAACTTCAGTTTGACCAGCATGCATCTTTGGGAAGGATACTTATAAAGACCTACCAGATCTGTGTGATCACATACTTCAATTCTGTCAGTCTTAGTAACAGCAGCAAGTAACAGTGAAGAGAGGTTTATTCTGATGCTTAACATTAGCAGCTACTCAGATAATCAAAACGAACTGTTTAACAGCATCTGGATAGACAGGATCCTGATGGTCCTAGAAGGAGACTTCGTCAGGGAGCGTGTAGAAGCAACATCTTGAGGGGTTGCGGGAATATATCAAATGTACAGGAGGCAGTGGATCTTAACTGAGAGGTATTCTAAAACTAAGGGTTTTGCTCTTAACCTGTTTGCTAAGGCTGTTTTAATTCTTACTTCATTGCTCTTTCTATCTCCTGCTATAAAATCAAGTTTTGTATAGTCAGGCCAACCATGATCCATAGAACTTTACTCTTCATCACGCTACTTTGTTCAAACATTAAGCATACTCTTCTATTAAACATATCCTTATTAGCAACCAACTCAGAGATTCTCCCTTTTCCTGCTCCATCTGCTGGTATCTGACCATCACAGCACAGTTAGAACTGCCCAGCTTTATGAGCACCATCAACGTAGGACTTAATCAGAGGAAAAAAAAAGGCAGGAGTCATTTTCTTATCTTGAATAAGAGAGTTCTGATTCTTGATGAAAAATAACCACCTATATATCAAATAGAATGGACTTCAAGAATTGAACTAAGCATCACATTTGCAGGAAGCATCAGGTGGGAATTTGCACATGGGAAATTAACTGAAATGTAATGTTCTATCTGCCATATTGAAACATTACAACAATTATCTGCCTGAAGTAATCCATTAAGTTTCAAACGAGATATTTGAGACATTGAAATATACCTCCTACACAATTGCTTAGACTGTTAGAAGTTGCACATGCCCACACATTTTAAATATGTAATTTATACAGCATACAAAGAACAGTTTAAACAAACTTTAAAGAAACAGTTAAAGAAACTTCTTTACTGTGAGGGTAATAGAGCACTGGAACAAGCTGCCCAGGGAAGTTGTGGAGTCTCCTTCTCTGGAGACATTCAAAACCCACCCGGACGCCTTCCTGTGTGATCTCATTTAGGTTCCTGCTCCGGCAGGGGGGTTGGTCTAGATGATCTTTTGAGATCCCTTCCAATCCCTAACATTCTGTGATTCTGTGAACAGTTTACTTTTAAAAGCTGCTAGCTTTAAAATTTACTGTTTTCTGCATTTATGCAAGTGCTTTAACACATAGGCAAGTAAAAATTCTAATTTACATTTTAGAAATGTTTCTTCAGCAACAAGAGAGCCAACACATGGAAGTATCCTAAAAGGTTATTAGTCCTGTGCTTACATGGCTTGCAGCCTTCCATTCTTCACTCCCTTTACATGGTGACTGCTTATTACATGAGGTAGAGATGCTGCTGGAGAAGGTCAGTGCCAAAAGCAGACTGTGTCATTTTCTTTCACCAGCTGCAATACAGAGAAGGGCAGCGCTCATAAGCAACATGTGATTCTCTTTGAGCACATGGAAATTATTGCTTCAGCTGAATTGTCTGATTATGGTGACCCAGATATGTGCATATTTACAAGAGACCAGATGTGTCCTACGAATAGCCCATTCCAGAGATAAAGACTGTGGGTTAAGAACTAAAGCCAAACAACAAAATAACAACCAGGGTTTTTAGCAGTCAAAAGTCTCAAGTCAAGGCTCAGAAAACAGAGGAAAACAACACTGACCAAAGCATTGGCTGCCCAGCCAGCAGCAGCAACCACCCACCCTGAAGTACCCTGTTCTGGCATGGGGGCAAAGGGGCTGAAAGGGTTTCTACTAACACTTATCACTTGCTAACAACAGCTAGCAGATGCTTCATGAGACACCTGAACCATTTATCAGATTTTTTTAGGCATTGTACTATCCCTGTGGTTCTGGGAAACATCTTACAGTCCTATCAAACGAGGATGAGACACTTCCTTCTTCTTCAGCAAGCCCATTACAGTTTATTAAGCAGCAACGTACTCCGAGTGCCAGGAAGCTGTCTCTCACTCCATGTCAGAAGAGAGGAATCAACCACCCCAAGGAATTGAGCACTACTGAGTCCTGCGCTTCACAGCAATCCCTTTACCTAGTTCTCTAGACACGCACATGCACACAAAGCTGTGCAGTTTTTCTAACTTCACATTGAGATGCAACAATCTTATGTTGGCTATACATACCTATCCTGGCATCCCCTGCTTTGGGCAAATGACAGTCATCCATCATATCTAACCTTCCCATCTAAGTACACCTGCCTAGAGCAGCAGTCAGCACGATGCTGAGGTTTGTGCCAAACAGAACCCTCTTTCACACAACAGGGCTAAGCTAAAGGAATAACTGAAGTGGCATTTTGGGCAAGACCTTATGTAATTTCTGCTTCAAATAGTCACTTTGAGGATTTAAAGTCCTGTAGCAGGAAAAAGGTGAAACAGCCCCTGCACAGTGCCAACAGGCACTGCCACCATGCTGTTCGGCAGTTTGGAAAGGCCAGACAGGGTCAGAGTCCAGCCCAGGCAGGACAGCTACTTCTGCTTCTCCTACAGCACAGCTCTAGGCTTGCTTTAATGGACTCAGAGAAAGAGAAGTGGCCAACACTAACTTGAGCTAGCCAATATTAACTCTCTTGCATTTTCCATTTCTAGGGAATGGACAAAACTAAACAAGCCTGGCATGTAACTTACAGGTGGCCAAAAGCTCCTTTAACAAGTGCATACAACTGGTGCCAGCCTTCACCCAGACCTTCCATCCTACCTTGTGATCCAGCCATCTACAGCTAGGTTAACACAGTGAAAAATAACTTCCTGGGGGTTCTTGAATGTTTCCATTTGCTTTTAGTCCACCTAATGATTTATGCTGCCTCTTTTTCACAGTTCATTTGTAGTTTGATCTGGGAATGTTCTCAGCAGTCAACAACTGATCTGCAGTTACCTCATCACCACGCCTTCTGCTTGCCCTTGGTTCTCTCCAATGTGATGGTGGCAGTTCAGCATACAGTTGAACTTGGCCATCAGGCTTGATGCTGAAAGCTAGAGCTGGGAATATTGGAAAGGTGGAAAAATTATTAATCTGTGACAGTAAAATGGAGTTTACCTTGCTATTGTCCTATTTATTAGGAAAGACGAGGTCTGGAGAGAAAGACTGGGCATGGCATTGTAACATTTCTGACACAGAATTTCAGTATCTCCACATTGTTCAGCCATGATGGAAAAAACATGTAAATAAGCAAAAATTTAGAGAAGTAGTACGGTTCATTTGACCACTAACTTACAGAGTAACGACACTCCAAAGCCCCAACAGAAGCGACAAAGGGGGCAAAAAGAGGAACAACAAAGCAGCTAGTGTTTAAGTAGCTGCCACCTTTCAGCAGTCCTCTGTAAACACACAGATTAATTCCTTGGGATTCTGTCCTAACAGCACCACCTCCCGGTCCACGCACCAAAAAGCCCCAAATCAAAATCTTGTTACAAATAAACAACCAAAATTTCTCTTTTAAGCTCTGCCAAACCAATTTCTAAATAATGCCACATCTAGTACACCAGACCACATTTTAATCATTTTATCTTCCCTGCTTTGCACCCTCCAATTTCAAGGACATCATTCCAAGTCAGAGTACATCTCTCATCCCATCAAAATGCAATGGCTACAATCCTTACTGACTTGGGTTTGCCATCATCGGTACCTACACTCCAGAAATGTTGGCACAGACTTGCGACGAAGCACTGCAGCAGTTCCAAACCACTGCTCTCACACAATAGTACTGAAGGCAGAACTAGTTGCTCTTCTTGTGTTTCTTACTGTTCTTTGTAAAACAAGGTCACAGTTTCCTCCTTGTTTCTGTTACGATCAAATGACAACAGAATGAGTTACTGCTGGTTTCTCATTATCATAGCCTCTTCAGGCCTCAAACAACAAGGCCTAACTTTACCAAGATGGAGCAAGATACGTTATCACTGTAGTAGGGCTTAAAATACTCTGCTACATTTCCATGCACACATATTAAAATCTGAATGTTACTGAATGTTGCACAAAACTTACAAAAAGGAAATTGGCTTCATTAAAGCATGGACACCAGCAGGTACTGACCTTTCATGGAGTACAGCCAGCACAATGAAACGTTCAAAGGGCAAGAGCTCATGAGTACCAAGAGGTAAGTACAGATAACTGACAGAGATAAGCGACTTTGCATGTAGTACCATATATGAGTGACTTCATCAGCAAATGGCATCAGCTGTACACACTTTTATCATTTCCCTTCCCACTGCAAAATCAGACTATTAAGGACAAGTTCCTGGCACAGTGGAATCACCAGCTTGTAACCCTTCAGGGCATAAGTGGATAAACTTAGCTGCTCTTCAAAGCTTTATTGTACCAGCAGCTTCTGTAGAAAGTCTAAGAGGACTGATGTGTAAGGCAGATCTTCCAAATGCTTAGGTTTTATATTTGTAAAGACAAGAGTAACAGTCTATAAACTTACTGTACACAGGTAGGAAAAAACAGATTGTGTAAAACAAAACACACAAAAAAATAGCCCTGGCAAGAGAAAACACTTTGTTCCAGCCAACCCTGATAAGGTGTACAGGCAAGGAGACATTCACTGCACTGGAGTATAGCTGTAGTTATTGGGAGATAGGTTCAATTTCCATCTGGGACTCCTACATTTGGTTTCACAAACAATGCTGGTTTAGCATGCAAAATACCACTTCAGAAGTCAGAAAGGTAAGGACTGCTATTAAAAAGCTCCTGCTAATTAACTGTGGCTGTTTCTCCAGCTGCTGCAGACCCTGTCAGTGTGTTACCTGGAAGTCTGGGAAGAGGAAGCTGGTGTAACGAACATGATACGATCCACAAACGCTTAGATATCATTGAAGAGGTAAGAGCTATTGTGCTGGCTGCTGGACCTTACCAGACCTCTGCCCCATCCTTTTGACTGAAGTACAAAAAGAAGGGAGAGTGACCTTGCTAGACACTGTTCCTTCTTGATTTTATTCTATTCAAGGTCGGACTATTTTTTTCAGATGTCATGGTTTGTAACTCTCCACAAAGCCACTATTACCAGAAATATAATCTCGATGAATTCCAAACAACTGATTAACCAATTACTGATATTACTTATCAGCCTTTTCTAAAATGTTTATAACTGTGCCTTTAATATAACAAACTCAGAACTGATACTTGTAAAGTTTCACATCTGCTTATGGCCAGATGTGAATTCTGCAGGTAACTCCAAGACTGATGGAGGAGTTTCTGCTCACTCCTGCAGACATTCAAGAGCTAAAAGAACTCTATGACTGGGATTCTAGGGAAGCTTTAACTTTTTCCCCTGGTGTTTTAAGCATTCACAAAATACAAGTGCTATTTCCAGCTGGATAGCTGCCAAACTGCATGCTGTTGGCTTTCAAATTCCATTACCTCTCTCCTGCTCTAGTCCCAGCCCTCTTCTTTCCACCCCATCAGCTCCTTGCATTTTCTGTGCAGATCCTTTTCTTGGATATTATGATGGCTCAGAAATGAGAGAGAATTAAGAACAAATTAATGCAAAGTTCCCTCCAAGAAGTCAAATTATGGGTGATTCTTTATGCAGAGGTGCTGTAATTTAACTCTTGCGAAACAAACTTTTAATACTTTGTGCCACTAGAGGTCAGCATAACACCAGAAATATTTAACTCTGCCCTGTGCAATAGAAATAAAATTAGCTGTTAGCATTACAGGACATTAGGTTTGCACTTCCGTTAACACACTTGGTACAATTCCTTCCACTTGACCCTTTCTCCATTTGTCTCCCTTGTTCTGATTAGAAGGTAATAAAAACAGTGGAGCATCTAGAATCAGAAGTCAAGTCACTCCTGAACATCATCAGTGAGACATCGAATATCCCCATCGCTCCAGGAACTCCACTTATAGACATTTTTGATGGTAAGTATCTAGTGGGATATAACCTAAGTTGAAAATAGTGTTGCACGTGTTATTACCAAATATTCCATCTTTTCTCCCCCCAAGATGTGAGGTAATTCCTTCGTTTAACTCAGTGCAGCTAAGGCCTCAGCTGAAATACTGGGTCCAGTTTTGAACATCAGGTTTCAACAACCACTGAAGAGAATGGGGGAAGAAAAGGGGAAAAAAAAAAAAACCCAAAACACCAAACAAACAAAATCCTGGTCAAGAAGCTACATAGACAAGCTACACAGAAAGGTTGTTAAATTAGGGATGTTTAGTCTAAACAATATAGAAGTAGACCACCAGAACAAGTAAGGCTGCCACAAAGATGAAAGCTATGTGTTTTTCCCCGTTGCAAAAGTGAGTAAGACAAGAAGTCATGTAGTAAGTAAAACACAATGCAGAGCTTTTTTACAAGGATAATGAACCACTGAAATTATATGACTATAGTTTCCCCAGCACCAGAAATGTTAAACAGGCATCACACCTTAGAACAGCAGGATGGACTAAGCAATCTCAAGGTCCATTTCAGTTTTAAGATCCTGTGATTATTTAGTTTCATGTATGACAAATGAAACAAAGGAGATGACCAAAATACAAAAAAAGCTAAACAAAAGATTACCATTTTCATATGTTGAATCCAATTATGACATGCAAGGCCCCGACAGAAAACATGCTCCTGGAAAAGTGTTTTTTGAACAAATTAAACCACAGCAGAAATTATTTTGATAAAACCACCTATTCTACACAGCTTCTTATGATGCTCTGTCCTGTTCATTCTCTGCCTAAATATCAATAGTGCATTTAACATGGGGAGAGACACCCCTTGTGGAGAATTAACCTCTTATAGAAAGGTATGAGCATCCACAGACATGTTATGTTTATGAAGCAAGTTTTGTCAGGGTTGATTTTTTTGGTTGCTCATTTACATACACACATGCATACTATAGTGCACTTACACGATAGAAGGTGAGCTCGAAGTAGACAGCTGTAGAGTTTATCTTGGTTTTTAGTTCTTACAGTTGTCTGTATGGATCTGGTCACCATGACCAATATGTCCTCATCAACCTTGTTACTCATTAAAATTTCCAATTTTATGAGAGGGGGCAGTTAATAGCTAACAATTAAGTTACTCCCCTGCAACAATACGTTATTTAAAAAAAGGTATTCAAGTAAAGTGTTACAGTGAATTTAAAACTGAAATACTAAGTCAACCTCAGTATATCTGAAGCACATCTATAGTAAGTACTACTCACATGGAGCTTGCAACAACTGCCAAATGGCTCGAGAATTGCAGAGCAATTCCTTCCATCTGTGATTTGGTGAATCAAAGTGACAGTTCCCCACTTTAAACTGGCAAGATTCATGTTTTAAACAATGTTGATCTACAAAGATTGATCCTGATCTTATAACCAGAAATAATTACATCAACTCTTCTCTATACAGATACCAGTTAAGCACCAGGAAGACAGAAGACAGCCGAATATAACAGTATGGTCGTCAAACAATTGCACTTTTGTTCATCTAATAAACTTGTGATCCCAGAATTTGAGCAGGGATGAACAATCCTCAGCTGTAGTTTGCCTTCTGTGTTCCTATGCTTTATAATAAAAAGATATTTGCTTTTAGACACTATTTCAAAGCTTCATATTTTTAACCTTTCATCAGTCCTGCTTAATCAAAACTGCATTTCAAATACAGCACTCCCAGTAAGAAAGTAAGATCAGGTGGGATCCGTGTCTAAAGTACAGCTAACAAACTTCCCTTAATTCTAAAGCATACTCCTTCCCTGGCAAAGAAGTGAACCCTTGCTATCAGCATAAATCAGTGAAGACACACTCTCAGCTGCAACTTCCTCTCAAGATATGCTTAGATTGTCAGACAAAAGTGAGTGTGTGGAGTAGTCTGGCTTCGGACACAGTCATGCTGTTGCCACTGACTGTAACAGGAGTCCCACCTGCACATCCTAGTCAGAATTCAGACCAGCCAAAATTCATCATTTGGATGCACACCTGCCTTATTCTGATACCTTTATACTCTTCCCCCTTGCCATAATGTCAACACAACTCAGAACCAATTCCAACATCCACCCCCATGATACCTCCATTCTCTTCCATGACAAACAGCAACACAACTTCTTCTAGAAAAAAGGACCTGCCTGATCTTTACAGAATGGAGAGCGTGCATGTGTGTGTGAAATAAGAGGAGTTTGTGCATTCTTGATTAACAAGCAGTCTATTTTCACTGACCTAGCTCCAAACCTCTTCCCCTCTTGCACTTTTCTTTTCATGTTTCTACTTTGAGAATGACAAGCTGAAGAGATGTCATCCAAGCTAGCAGAGAATAAAAATTCAGAGTTACAATAGTCAGAGAAATTACAACATACAAAATAAAAATACTGAGCAATAAGTACAGATTACAGGTATCTGTACAGACAATTTCTCATCAGCAGCACACAAGTCCCAGACTCTTGTCAACACAACCATTTCTGAATAATTCTATGGATTCAAGCAGAGAACTTCTACGGAAAAAACTAAGTTACATAAACTAGGTCATCAGCACTCACACATAAATCAACATGAACACCAAAAAGCATAGTCTGCAAAGAGTTAGAAGATAGACAGTTTTAATTTCATAATCTCTTCTTACATACATATACTTAAGGCACAATCCAAAACCTTAAAACATTAATTATGCCTTCTGACAGTCACCCTGCAAGAATGAAATGTGGAACACATCTTCCTTAAAAACAATCAAGGAAAGAAAACAGAATTTGACAAATCTTCTTTATCACAGTCTTAACTAGACCCAAAAACTCAAGGCTATTCTCTCCATGTATCAGGGAGTAGGCTGGCACAAAATCAACTCTGCATACAACATATATAAAACTCTCATTAAAATAGCATGTAATGTTTATACAAAATAAAACTTTAAATCATACAACTGTGATTTCTGTTCCATAAAACAAACATATTATTTCAGCATAATATAAGCAAAAGAGAAATAATGGCCTGTCATTCACGGAGTGCTGAGAGTACTACACAGAATCCTGAGGAGGTGGCACATAAGCTTGATATTTATATTTTTTTGGCATTTATTACCTACTACTTTTGAACTGAAGGGAAGATATATGCAGTATTATCTTTAAAAATTAATTGCTTTAGGAGAAACAGGTCATTACATATTTACTTTTGGAGAAAAAAAAAAAAAAAAAAAAAAAAAGATGCTTTAAAGCAAAACCATGAAAATAGCAGCTTTTCAAAGAAAAGCTCAATGCTCCATTTAGTCATTTCCACCACACAACTTGAGTAGGATTTTCCGGTAGTCTCCTGAAGTATCACCCTGGAAAGAAACACAAAAAAAGAAAAGTTGAAGACTTGTGCTTTGAAATAGAGGAAAGAAGTGCAATCATCCTAAAAATGACATTAAGAACCAAAAGGATGAAATCAGAGTTGAAATAAAGTAGATGTTAACCTCTTAAAATTAAAAAAAAAAAAAAAAAAAAAAAAAAAAAAAGTAGTCTGCTAATTAGAAATTACTCTAATACAGGCACACAGTAAAATCTGCTCCTTCCATAACTGGAACCAAAAGTGCCTGTAGAGAATGTATTTCTTTAGAAAACTGAATTTGGTATACTGGTTCAACTACTTAGGGAGTAAGTTCAACAAAAAACTCTCACTGAAAAGCTGTCTTCCAGCAAAAGGTATGAAAATATGGAAAAATTAATACAGAAATCCTTTTCCTTACAGTAAATGTGAGTATTTCTCCAGGGGCACCAAGTGAAAGTTTACTCTTTATTATGTTCAAACATTAAAAACAATGCATGGATATCAAAAGATCTAAGGGGGTTTTTCCACAATTAGTGAACATCGCTCATGTTGTGGGCACTGAAAATCAGTACAGATGCACATACACACATGCATTTAAAACACTGAAATATTTAATGAACAGCAGCAATTAATCACAAAAAGTCCTGCCAGCTGAGTTCTGACTGGTGCTCTTACGAGTAAAAAGCACTTCCTGGGAGCTGCTCATTAACCAGTTTTGGTTGATGAGGCTTGCCAATCCTTTTCACAGAGCAGCTTCAGCTAGTGCATTTATCTCATCCTTCATCTTCAGGTATGACTGAAAACTGCTTTAACCAGATCAAAATTATTACAATAGTGACAAAGAGACACCTGAAAGATCCAGATAAATCCTGGGAAGGTGTAAAGCACAATCCACAAAATATAAAACATCCCTGTTTCTATGTGCGCTGAAAGGAAAGAACTGCTGTCCACTTACAAAAAAAAAACCAACAAAAAACAAAAAAAGGAGAGAATTAATAACTTTCTTTCCAAGGATGTTTTCAGTTCCACTTTTACAGAAATAAGCAGTAGAGTTTACATGCACATAATTGTGCATGTGCATGGCCTGTTTACTAAACCTAGTTGACTGAAACTAGGTCTTGAATAAGTTCAACCCACTAAATGGGTATGGCCTGTTCCCATTTCTGAACATTAAAATTACTTTAATATCAGATCAAGAGAGAAGGGGAAGGGAGACAAGAGACATAGACCTTTTTCACCAATGTGTCACTGTTTATTACTCACACATTGATGGTTACAGCGCATGTTAACTATAATAGAAGCACATCTTCACTCCAGAATTACACACTTGGAAGAAGCTTCACACTTGGAAGAAAGACAATACATTTGCTGGCAGAAGACTCATATCAAGACTTTTTGGTGTACACTGTCTTTCACTATCTTTGCAGGATTCCTTCCAAACATCTTCAAATTGCAGCCCCTCAGTGTCAACAGTGGAAGGAATAAATAGGGGCTTAACAAATTCAGCACCTTCATTACACGGTAAATGAAAAGTGGCCCCACTCACTCCTATCCAGCTCTTGCTACCCTCTCCACTGGCCAGGCATCCTATTGACTGTTGCTACAGCTGTTACTAGCAGTAGTAGGGTGGATCAACTGCTAAAGAATCTGAAGTTTAGCCTATTTCCAAAATCTTGTACTTT